TCGTCGTCTTTGTCTTCTTCGAATTGGAACCTGGGCATCCACTTCTATCGATTTTGGGGGCTAGGTATGAGTGGGGGCTTAGATATAGAACACGATTTGGGGGTTTTCTATTTTTATTTTTTGAATTAAACTAAATCATGTATTGGCGCAAAACCAGGGACCTAATCTGCCGAAAATGCCCTTAAACAATTGTCCAGCTAGACACCACGTAGGCACATAACGGATTTCATAACGGAATCGCTAACAGAGGGGGCGATCTGTAATTTTTTGCGACGTTGTGTATGTACCCATAAATGTTCCCAAAATCGGGTATGAACTCATAAATAACCCTATAAGTTAGGGGATTTACTGTAGTTTGTCCTAAAAAAATCTATCAGAGCAGCATTTAATTTTCTAGATGTCTTTGTTCTATTGACCAAATGTGATTCCTCCAAAGATAGAAACTCAGTAGTTGGCACTTGCTACTTGGTATTAAAAAATAAAAATAAAAATAATCCAATACATCTTCTAGCTTGGAAAATGGTACATTTTAAAATAATTAAATATCTCTAGGAAAAGTACCAGTATTTGCAAATGAGGACGGAAATGGCTCAACAACCATTGTTTAGCTTGATATGCTGAACCCAGTACAACTTCAGGCACAACACATGCATGCTTATACTAATACTTTCTTTTGGACGATAATATACTAAACTCATACATATTACACGGATGTTAAAACTCGAACTTAGCATTTTTTGGAGGGAGTATTTGCTTCAAACCACTACACTAGTGGACCGTTTACATTCTAAATTATACTAAATTAATACATTTGATTCAATAGGAAAACTATTTGGTAAGAGCGGGAGACGTCTAAAATTTTATAAGATTAGTTTCTCGCGTCCAAATTATGTCACGTCTTTGGGTTGTTATTCTTTCCTTTTTTCGGGAAAAGAAAGGCTTTGGCTTGTTGGACCGACTTGCTAACATTCAACGTAAGCGTTTACGTTGAGTCTTTGAGAGGGCGGGTATACTTAGTCACGATTTGATGCAATAATATAATTAATTAGTCCGTTGGTTCATTTTCCCCTACGAATGTCGAAAGTATCATTAATTATTATTCAGAATTAATCACAGTTCAGGATGTTTAACTTTCCATCCAACCTTTTATTCATTTATTACTATTTTCCTCAAAGTTTCTGAACCACTTCATCCCCCATCCTCCCTCGTTTCTTGACAGTTTTTTTATTTTATGTCTAGTTTCAACCTTTTGTATTCAACAACTTGAACACCCATTAGTGTAGTGGTTTGTAACAATTGTTTTCTTAGAAAAGGTCATGGGTTCGAGTCCTAGCATCCATGTAGTATGTGAATTTAGTATATTATAGTTCATTTCAATAGAAAAAGTCTTCAAATAAATAAATAAAGAGAGAGGCCTTTTTTTCCATTCCTTAATTTTCAGGTTTTTTTTTTTTTTTTTTTTTTTTTTTTTTTTTTTTTTCATTTGGTTTGGGCCTATCTGTATAGCAATCAACATCAAAATCTATGCACAGGGAGAACAAAGATTTTCAGAAATCAAACATGGAACTTGAATATTGGCTGCTTTCGTTTCAATATAACTTAATTTACAGAATCATTATTTTGTTGATCTATGGTGCAAAATTTTTGTATTCTCTTTGTCATTTGATTGATCAAAGAGCGACAAGTTTTAAATATACACTTTAAGTTACAAAGAAACTTTTTTTTATTAATTTCAATCCAGAAACCAATGCCAAAACCAATGCTGTAACCAATGGCAGTAATGATGCCAGTAAGAAGCTTTCCGTTAAAGCTAGATCCTCCACCAACTGGCGGCGGCGGTGGCGGTTGAGGAGAGCAAGTGAGCCGCACGGTTGGCGGGCCACATAATCCTGGATTCCCTTCAAAGCTGGAAATGGTAAAAGTATCAAACTGGCCTCCGGATGGTACAAGTCCCTGAAGATCATTATACGCCACACTGAAGAAAGACATGAAATTTAGACTTTTGAGAGAAGCAGGGATTGCACCAGAGACATGGTTGTAGGAGAAATCCAATCTCTCCAAGTTGGCCAGGTTAGAAATCTGATCCGGGATGCTGCCAGTGAAGTTGTTGTGACTGAAGTCAAGCTCATGAAGAAGCCTCAATTGTCCAATCTGAATGGGGATGGTGCCATTAAGGAGGTTGTAGCCCACATATATGGCTCGGCGGAAGTTGGAGAGCTCCTTGTACTGCTGATTGGGAGCATTGGTGGGCTTCACAAAGAGAGGCAACTCTAGAAAACTTTCCTGCACCTTATGATCACCGGTCTCTTCTGATGTCAAAGCCGGCATCCCACAGAGCTCAGTAGGAAATCCTCCTTCAAAAAGGTTATTGGACAAGTCCATGTAGAAAAGATTAGGCAGAGAACCCAACCAACCCGGAACCGAACCGGTTATGAGGTTGTATGAGAGGTCCAAGGCTTGAAGATTTTTAAGCTTGACAAGCCAGGAGGGTACTTGACCTGTGAATTGGCAACCACCAAGAGCCAAAACCTTGAGGTTAAGGAACCCATCTAGCTCTGCTAGATTTTCATCATCAGGCACAGGCTCAAGCAGAAAATTCTTGGACAAGACCAGAACGGTCAGGCTCTTGCATCCCGTTAGAATCCTAATAGCACCAGTGGCATTTGTAAGGTTGTTTATAGAGAGAGAGAGGAAGGAGAGAGACTTCAGTGCAACTATTTCAGGAGATATCTGGCCTGTGAGCTGATTGCTGGCTAATCTGATTGCTTTAAGTGATTTGCAAGAGTAGAGGCTTTGAGGTAACTCACCAGTGAAGTTGTTGTTGCCGAGGTCAAGCGTGGTGAGGCGCGGGAGAGTTGTGAAATTGAAGGTAGAGAGGTCTCCAGTCAAGTGGTTGAACCTCAAAATCAGGGTGGACAGATTTGTGCAGTTGGTGAGAGATGGAGGTAGATGACCTGTGAAGTTGTTGGTGGAGAGACGAAGATTTTCCAACCTTGAAAGCTTGCCAACGTTGCTTGGGATTGGGCCTGAGAATTTGTTTGAGGAGAGCTCCAAGATCTTGAGTTTGGTTAAGAGCACAATTCCTTTGCCAATGTGTCCCGAAAGGCGATTGCCAGGCAGATAGAGCTCTTCAAGATCAGCGAGGTCGAAAATCTCACCAGGGAGATAACCAGAGAGGTTATTGAAGCCTGCCCCGAATACTTGGAGCTTGGAACATGCTCCGAGTCGAGGTGGAATTTCGCCAGTGAATTTGTTGAAGGACAAGTCTAAGATGGTGAGGGAAGTGTGATCGCTACCATTGTTGCAGAAAAAAGAGATGGGGTTGGAGCCAGCAAAGTTGTTCTTCCTGACATTGAAAGTGGTGAGAGTGGCTGCAGCCGCGGCCGGGACAACAATTGAACCATTAAACAAATTTCTAGACAAGTCTAGAGTCTCGAGGCTGGTGGTTTTGGAAGAGAACACCGGTAAGTGGCTGGTGAGGCGGTTGTAGCTCAAGTCGAGGACCTGGAGTCTAGAGAGGGAGGAAAACAAGTCATTTGGGAGAGGACCAGAGAAGGAATTGTGGGAGAGATTAAGGTGGGTGAGATGTGTGAGGTTGGTGATAGATGGAGAGATAACACCAGATAAGCGTCTCCAAGGCAGCCATAGACGAACGACACGGTGATCATCGTCATCTTGCTGGCAACTTACTCCTTCCCAGGAGCAACAGTCAGTAGAAGAAGACCAATTCAATGGTGGCTTGAAAGCCAAGGACAAGAGGGAGGCATGATCCACTTGGGCACAAGCAGCAGAGGCAGAACAAGGCAGCAGAAGAAAACCGAAAAAGAGAAAGAGCTTGTTGTAGTTGGAAGAGGCACTTGCTTTGTTGTGTTTCATCTTAATTATGAACGCCATCCCATTGAAATTGTTGTTACCAATCTTAAGTACATGCATGTAATCTTAAGCACGTGCGCGTATGTAAAGACCTGTTGAGATTGACCAAGAAAACAGAGAGCCCGAGTGACGACGCGTGTGAACAGATTTATCTTAATAGAAAATGGGAATACAAATTTATAAATAAACCCAATCCTAGACATGTATTTATAAAAAAACCCAAGCACTATTTAAACATAGAAACACACCCAAAATCAACCCCAAAGTCAACTTTTTGGGTGTGTTTATAAATGGGTTTTGAGTGTGTGTAATGATGGGTTTTGGGTGTGTTTATATGTTTAAATAGTGTTTGGGGTTTTTTATAATTTCAACCCCCATTTTGGGTGTTTTAGTAAAACTCCCAAATGGGAAAAGTAGTACGGCACTGCTTGGACTATTTGCAATATACTAGTCCGGAGACCCAAACAAACACGGCAAGCAAACGAATTCTCACCAAAGGAAAACCGTTTAATTTGAGTCATGCAATTCCAATTCAGAAGTTCTTTGACATGGTATCACCAACTAGAACCTCTGCTGAGCTATCATTATGTCACTTCAATTTATTGTTTCATTAAAAAGAAAAAAGAAATAGAGAGTGCCTCGAAACAGAGGATGAATTATGTATTGGGATCAATTTCGTAGAGAATAATACGTTATAGACGCTACATCGAACTAGAATGAGCAGCCAATTAACATTAATTATTAATTATTCAAGGTCCAATCGTAAAAGCGATAATTTGGTAAGACTATGAATTAGGCACCCTCAATATACATCCAAAAAAATCCTATCTATATTTTTGCCGCTAAGTATTCAAGATGAAGGAAAGGGGGTGCAGTAAACTGGCACAACCGCAAATGTTATAAACAACTCTCAGAGGAAGACAGGAGCCATAACCAGCGTTATTGTTGCGAGCATCTTAATGAGAACATGAAGCGAAGGTCCAGCTGTGTCTTTGAATGGGTCACCCACACTGCACAACAAATAAAACCAGATCATATAATTATTTCCAAGAACTCAGATACCATTAAAAACTGAACAAAAGGAACAGTACTCAAAACTCTTTCCAACGCACAAGAAATGTAGAGAGAGAGAGAGAGAGAGAGAGAGAGAGAGAGGGGACTTACGTATCTCCTGTAATAGCAGCCTTATGGCTATCACTTCCTTTGCCTCCGAGAACCCCTGTCTCAATGTACTTCTTTGCATTGTCCCAGGCACCACCGGCTGTGTTCAGGAAAAGTGCCATGAGAATACCAGAAACTGTTGCAAACATCAGCATGGAAGCTACAACTTTAGCACCGAGTAGAGGCTGCCCAGTATAATATCCAAAGATCCGGAATGCTATACCTGCAAAAGATACGAGCAAGAATTAATCCTTCATCATGTAGTATTGGAAAGCTTATGCAAAGAGTAACCAACAAAAAATAAAAAACCTTATGTAAGGAAGAATGGTCAAACATGAAAGAAATTAAGAGGGAAAACAAGATTAACCAACCAATCACTATAGGTGAAACAATAGCCAGGGCCCCAGGTTTTATCATCTCCTTTAAAGATGCAGATGCTACAATAGCAACACAACGACTATAATCTGGCTTCTCCGTATAGTCCTACAGAAAAAGCATAATTAGAAGGGGTTACTGTCCATTTATGTACAATAATACCATTTTGTCTTCACAATCAGTTTTAATTCATTTGCAATTAATATCCACTTTAAATAATTTTTTTGAATTAATCATGCATTTAAATGACATTTGGGGTGTCTGTATAAGAGCACTTCCAGCGGGTCAATTTTGCCAGGGCAAAAGGGAGCCCAGGCTGGGTTTAAGCTCCCCAGCAATGAAAGGCAGCCCGGGCAAAAATGGGTTACCCAGGCAAGCCCAAAGGCAAGAATTGCCTGAGCTGCTGCCTGGGTTTGCTGATCTCATGCTGACATCAGCATGACGTCATCCACCAATTTAAATACTATATATATATTACCAAAAAATTCTGAATTTTTTTTTTCTATAATAGTATTGTGGTGAAGCCTGTGAACCCAAAGAAGAGCTGACTTTATAATAGTAAAGACTTTTTTGGTTATAAAAAAATGCTAAAGATTAACATGGGAATTGCTACGAAAACTTTACTAACCATTATACCGGGCCTCTCAATAAATTGCCTTCTTACTTCCTTAACAACCTCTTGAGCAGTTCGGCCAACTGCTGAACAGGCCCAAGCACTAAATAAGTATATAAGCATAGAGCCTAACAATCCACCAACGAAAACTTCTGGAATGGCAATATCAACCTGGCAATCATCATAAATTTCAAATTACAACAGGACTGAATGGTATTTAAAGAGGGGGAAATATCAATACTGGGAAAGCTGGCTTTCTTACCTGTTTGAAAGGTTCACGAGCAAATGTAGCAACCTCATCCATATATGCACTAAACAGAAGAAAAGATGCAAGTGCAGCAGATCCTATGGCAAATCCTTTAGTGGTAGCTTTTGTAGTGTTCCCTACTGCATCAAGAACATCGGTGATCTCCCGGACACTTTCAGGCTGTAAGGAGACATTTGCTAAATTATAATTAAAACCAAACAATATAAAAAGAAACAAGAAAGTCTTCAGAATTGAGACAAGAATCTTAACGAATTCATAACAGGGCTACCTGCTGACTCATCTCTACAATTCCACCAGCATTATCAGCTATTGGACCAAACATATCCATAGTGAGAACATAAGCAGCAGTACTGAGCATTCCCATTGTTGCTACAGCTGTGCCGAAAAGCCCACCAGTTGGAATTCCATTTTCGTCCATTAGGCCAGAGGTCTGGCCCAGCCAGAAAGCTGAGATAATAGATACACTAATGACAAGAACAGGAAGAGCTGTTGATTCCAGACCCAAACTGACTCCAGCAATTATATTAGTCCCATGACCTGTGGAGCTCGAAAGGGCTAACATGCGTACGGGCTCATGTTTGTAGTCGGTATAATACTTGGTAATCCAGACAAAAATGTATGCCGTGATAATGCCAACTAACCCACACAAGGCAAAGTTAAACCACGCAGACGGTGCTTGCTCGGTGTAAAGCAGCCATCGGGTAGACTGTACAATAAAACAACCGCAATGACAATAATGTCTCAAAACTAAAACAAGCAAGCTTCTAAAGTCTAAACTTAAAACACTAATATTTTCAAATGACAAAGAACATAAAAGATAAATCGTAACTATCCGCTGATTTCTTTTTGTTATTTGCTACAAAATAAACAGAAACATAACACAATGGTCAATGAAGTATTACCGCACCAAATGTCAGAACAGCCAAAACTATTGTAACAGAATATCCTCTCTGTAGAATTGTCATTGGATCCTCCGAAGAAGCCTTTCCACCAGAATCACGTGTACCTCTAATTGAGAATATTCCAGCCGATGAAATCACCAGATCAAAAGAGTGAACAACCAGAGGAAACAATATGAAACCAGACGGATCTGCACAAAAAAGTGAATGTAAAGGTGAGTCTCTCAGAGAAATAGATACCCGGTTTAAACAAAATAAGTAACATAAAAGAAATGGTCAACCCCCTCCCTCTTTCAACACATGCAGACACAAGGTTGAGTGTTTGTGTGCATGAATAAATATAACACCAAAACTTGTGCTTGCCTTCAATTTTACAACGTTTAGCCATTGTTCCCCCAAGTATCATTGCACTAATTATTTCGGCTGCAATACTCTCAAAAAGATCAGCACCACGAGCTGCGCAATCGCCCACATTATCTCCAACCTTAATTTCAATGGAGTAAAATCAATAAATTTACACATTTAAAGGTAGCAGACATGATAGAAATTTATTCAGTGACGTCCTCAACTATGGATAAAAGGATCAAACCATTTTTTTACATTTCTAATACGACTGCAAAATCTGCATGCACGCTAATGAATGTCTATAATTATGAAACAATAATAACAGAAAGACAAACATTTTTTTATACTTTAAACGATTATCCTTTTTCTGTTTGTAATTTATCGTTACATTATCTTGTTGTACATTTATGCATACAAGGAATTCCTCCATAAGAATTGAGGGTACTCAATGCCCGAAGAGAGAGAAAATAACATCACCAACAAATCATCCGCCATTCACACATCTACCAAACAAATCATCCGCCATTCAATTATTCTAGCTGTTAAGTATGATAACTCAAATTTTTTTTTAACGAAAAGCACATCTCCACACATTGAGCCTTACAACATACTTCAAGGTGGGCAGAGGTGCCTTGCCTATCACCTTATGAGAAAATAAAAAGTTTAAAGGACTTTGAAACCCATAATAATGGAATAATAAAACATTTAACAGTTTATATGAAACACACAAAAAATGGAATCTTGGTCTTCAATGAACTTTACTGCCACAGATTTCAGAATTTAAAAAACATCCGATGTTCGCCGTTTCTTCTTTTCATTTCAGCCTCAACTTTAATGAAAAAAGTCATACAAGGATAAAAGGGCAAACATCAGATCAGGGATTGTTTTAACCCAAACAACAAGCTTCAGTGGCTATGCACAGGCTCTTAAATGAAGCCAACAAAGGAGAAAAATACCAGATCTGCAATCACTGCAGGATTCCTAGGGTCATCTTCAGGAATTCCCTGCTCTACTTTTCCCACAAGATCTGCTCCAACATCAGCAGCTTTTGTGTATATTCCACCACCCAACTGAGCAAATAAGGCAACAAAAGATGCTCCGAATCCGTATCCAACAAGAAGAAGAGGCACTGAAAACAAAGTACATCAAAGTCAAGCAAAATATCTAACAAAACAATGGAAATAGTAATTTATATATAATAGTCAAAATGGAAAGCATAAAATATGTGTATGCAGTCAAACAGCTAACATGATCATATATAGCTATTAGGTTGAGACCATCCAATACAAGCATTTCAACGAAATGTACGTTTACTGTCAAGAACAGGTTAAACCGGAGCAAAAGGGTAGTTATAAGCTTGTGAATAC